AAGAATTGTCAAAGACACACCCAGATCAAACGACTAAACTTATATAAAACACCAGCCCAAACCGGTCAACTGAGCGCGCTACGTGCTGTGGATTCCCAACCCACTTTCTCTCTAGCCCAATCTGCAGCAAGGCGATCATGGCAACGCAATTTCCGTATGTTTCATGGCCAAAAAATGGTCATTCAATCAAAAAGTATGGGGAATATGATTAGTGAGAAGTGGAGGTGAAGTGCACAAAAGCCGCTGATTCCATTGAACACAAACACTGACCATCAACACCTCGATGTGCCAACATAGCTGTGATCCAAGATTGGCCGGCCCAAAAAAAAGCACCGTGTAATGGAAAATTGGAACGTTCTGAAGTCCCACAAAGGCCATGAAATCTTGGAACATTCCGATCTCATGCGCAGCAAAGGCCTTCAGATTGCGCGCATTCTCCACGATCTTTTCAAACTTCTGCGTCACCAGCTCGAGCCTGAGTCCACCCGGTCTGAACCGCAAGCTCCGTTACGGTCTGTGGTACAGTGAAGGAAGTTCCAGTGCAGGTCTTTTTTCAGAACCATCCTGATTGATCAATCTCATCAACGTTTGAATTGCAATGTTACAAGGTTGTTGGACCACAGACTTTAGTATACGTATAGTCATGGAGTCATGCACAATCCGAACCTTGACTCAAAAAAGAGACATGCATCTGCCACAACCCGATGGATCGTCCCCCAACCACATGAATCCCATTTGCACAGGAAGAAAGTCGGCTTCTGGGCTCCATTTTCCGTGATCTCTGATCTTCTCAATCAATAGAAAACCTGTTTGGAGACCAAGAGGAAGTCAGAGCAATTCCTATCTTGGGGGGTTCAACATCATTTCTGATCAAGTGTTCCACCCTTTGAAACCCTCCAAAACCCTCCAAAAACGGCCACGCTCGTTGAGCTCAGCCCATCCCTGCTGAGCTCAGCCACTGCTTCAAGAGCTCCTCTGGAGATGGATTCTCTCGGAATTTGATGGTCTTCACCAAGGCCTGTGCCGAAAACGGCTCCGCCAAGTGAGCGGAGCTCAGCGAGTCATCGCCGTTCGGGCGCGGGGGCGGTCCGCGGTCCGCGGTCCGCGCCGCTTCGGGCGCGCGGTCCGTGCGCCTGTGCGAACTGCTTGCCCATGACGTGCAAGGCATCCATCTCGAAGTTGGAATCCCCTGCCCAGTTCGAAGGCAGTTGGACAAGCGCTTGGAAGGCTTTAGCAAGCGGCAAGGCAATGTTCCACATGGTAGGCAAGAACACCTCGGTACCTATCATCTATAGTACGCTCTTTATGCAGCCAAACCCGATCCAACCTACAGAGATCAAGTTGGTGATGATCTCGTTATCCAGCTGCTTTTGCACCTCGCCATGCCAATCTTTATCTGAGAAGTTGTGGTGCTCTGAGAAAAAAGGAAAACATCCCCCTGTTCTAAATCCCCGCTGCTGCAGCTAGTAATGCCTCGAAAAATATATGTTGGTTTGTTGGGTGAAAATGTCTGTAGAGCCTCAAGAAAGGCACTCTCCTTCCACTTACTCACCTGGCAGCGCAGATGGCAGCTTGCAAACAGCTACACACAACATCCCGGGTCTCAAAAGACACACCGCACAGCATTTGCTTCGGCCTCTCCCGGAAATTCGGGCTCAAACTTTGTTCCTGTGCCAATCCGCCAAGTCTGGATGTCATTCCGACTCATTCCGACTCCATCCGACTATCACCGGTGTCCACGCGATGGGTTCTCACGTTTCGTCTTCACGATCGAAACCACAAAAAACGAATGTGGACGAGAACGTTCAGCTCCCGACGAGCTGAAATCACCCGGACGCGTTGAAGAGTGTCGAGCAGATTCGGTGCCTCGACGTGTCAGATTGTCAGATGAAGCGATGAAAGCTCAACAATGGTTAATTTTACGATATTTCCCTGCAGATTATGTTCTGCATCAAGAGTATTTTAGAGCTATTTTTAGCTGGGTTGCGAGCAGTGCAGTGTAGTCACCAGTATTGTCGTACTTCTGTTGAATCGTTGCTTGATTTGCAGTGTGGTCGCCATGGCCAAACTGGTCCAACCTCATATCTGAATTTCCAACCTCAGGTCCCGACCCATTTGGCTGCGCTGTATTCCACCCAGCCGCTCATGGCATTGGTGATGATAAAGGTTTGGCCCTGAACCGGCCGGCATCGCGGCATCCCGGTGGGGCCCCTGTCCCAGTCGGAGGTCCTTGAGCTGTCCAAACCAACCAACTAAGTGTGCACAAATTAAACCAGGAGGAAAATGGAAAAGGTCAGCTTTCCGGATCCACCATTAAATTTCTCATGGCCACCCGGGCATACCTGATGGTATCCCATGGTATCGTGAGTCTTTGTCGGAGATCTGGGGTATTTCATAGTCCATCCGCGGTTCTCCATCGGTCCCAAGTCCCTCCGCGCCATCCGTTTGGCCAGCTCCAGAAGCTTCTTGGACGCCGCTTCAATGTCCTCAGCCACGCGCCACGCGCCACGCGCACGGGCTCGCTCCCGCTCGCGCTCGACGTCGTTCGGGGCGCCCGGACCCTGAGGTTCCGCTCGATGGTGGGCGAGAGCATCGACTCCTGAGGTCGGTCGTGATGCTTTTCCACGCAGATCGCCAAAAAAAAACGAAGGGAACACCGAAAACGGACACGGAAAGAATATTTATATATATATATATATGACTGTGAGTGATGTGTTTTTGTTTCTTTCCTTCTCCGACATAAGACAGGATCTGCTGCGTGTGTTTCAGTGACGTTTTGCAGCACCTGATTGCGGAGGTTGAGGAAGGACGTGCAGAGCAAGGTGTCATCCCAATCGAAAATGATCACCGTCTGATGCTGCGGGGACTTCTGCGCCTCTCCGGAACATGCCAGTGCATTCAAAACAACGTGGAGATGTCCTCGTGAATGACTGCGCAACGTCTTAACTGTCAGCCCTGCCTCTCAACGTCTCAAAAAATAGTAAAACACAATTCTATAAGTCACAGTCTCATTGCTGGATCACGGTAGTTCTTCACTCACCCACACGTTGGTCTCGCCTTTGGTACCCACACGTTCGAATACGCCAGCTTCCGCAGGTAGGTGACCCGAAAATCATCCTGACCTAATACATGTGCGGAATCAACACAAACGGCCCATATGCGAAAGTGTCTAGTTTTGCTTTCAACTGGAGATGTACAAAAATGATATCGGTATATCGGTATATCAGTATGAATTCGCAACAAATGAAATGGCCCATGGCAAGCTTCCATTTTAGTTGGGTACCAAGAGTTCTGAGCAGGTCCAAATTTTCAATATGCCCTACATGAGATCAAGTCAATGGTCGTGTGTTCAAGCAAAAGAGAGCACGCACCGGAGGATGTTTGTGTTTAGCGAAAGAGCGCGCGACTTTGGAGGTCGAGGGTGTTCATCTCAAAGTCACCCTTGGAGATCAGGCTGGGATCAAGGACTGGCCAAAAAAGCACACAACACTGCACCAAAAACAGAACAACACTGGAACACCCTCTGCGGACTCTGCAGTAACCTGCAGAAACCCTGCAAAAGAGCGGCCAGAACGGACGAACTTCCAACAGCCTCACTCAGGTCGCAGCCTCTCCTGCTTCAGTGATGGCTTTTCGATGTTCGAGTCGGTCGGGTGCCTCAACGGTCGGTCGGACGGCAGCGTCAACGGACGTCTGGTGCCGCGGCCTCCGCGGCAGCTTTTGTGGGAGGATGGAAGGCAGCATAGCTCCTGTTGCGACCAAAGCTGAATATTCAGGATCAACTCCACATCCACCCAATCACTGAAACGATGCCTCAGCAAGCATTGCTAGCATCAACTTAGGCGCCCCACTCTTGATCCTTCTTGATGCCAAGGCGGTGCAAGTAGTCCTCAGCCCAGCGGAACTGAACGGTGCCCATGAAAGTCATGACGATGACTGTGAGGGCAAAAAGATCTGCTATGGAAAAGCCGACAGAACGTCATACTACACAACCTGGAATAGTATAAAGCAAACGTCATGAGTCATACCTTTCCAACAGATCGCAACAGCTTTTGTTGCTCAAGAACTCTGACAAAGTAGAGCAATCCACCTTGAAATCTCTCAATGATGAGTTTACAAGAATAGACACTACAAAGCAGGAGATGGTCCCAATAAGGAGGTCTACTAAAACAATCTATGGCAAACCTAGAACCAGTTTACCCTGCCTGCCGTCGTCGGTTGACTTCCACTTCAGGCGGAGTGATGGGAGGGGTACCTTCAACGCGAGGATTGAAGACGAACACTTTCTCTTTCGCACTCACTAAAGCAGCAAATCATTCTCACAGTGTGCTGTAGCAACTAGACACATCCAATAACCAGGAAGACTTTTCATGTGTTATTGCTAAAGAGTGGTCATCAAACATACATACTGTACTGCGGGTACTCCGAAAAATACTCCATCCCCTCAGCGCCTTCTTCAATGCCCTGGGTTTGACCCATGACCTCAAAAGCACGATCAGAGACCTTCAGTTTAAAAAACAAAAACAACAAGACACTGAGCCTGAGCCGAGGCCAGCACCGGACGATGTTGGAAAACGCTGAAGAGAAGGGTTTATCGCCCAGAGAGCACGGCGCCGCTGTCCAAGGCGCCAACCCCCGCAGATAGAAAAAGGGCTTGCGAAGCAACAGCGAAATCTGTGGCCCTGGATGTGGTTCATCAGTTCGCTACAGAATGCTAGGATTAGGATATTGTTTGGTTCGAGCAAAGTTTGGATCGAAGGTTGGTCTGGTCCGCATCCGGGTTGCTTGGAAACATCGAAGTTCAGAGTCGCCGAGCCAGAGCTGCGGGCCATCCAGAGGGGAAACCCGTCTGCCCCCCGTTGCCATGGTTCGCAAGTCTGTTCCGTCCATGTACGTTAAGTTGATCACACCATGGGGGTCGCAAGCAAGTCTGGCCCTCCAAAAAGAGTTGCGATCCCAAACGAGTTGGCTGTTGCATGTTCTTCCTCACGGAGCTTCGCATTGACGAAAAACAGGCTCCACAAATGGCAGTCCAAGACATTGCATGACCGTAGTCTGTGCAGTGATACATGTTCTAAACACATTCGCTTGATGTGCCTGCTTAAAGGAAAGCTGTGTCCGGGTGGTATGTGCGACTCAGCACGCTCTTATCCTTCATGAATAGACGTGTGGCACGGTGAGTGCCCAAAACAGGGACGCCGGAACCTCAGGGTTGACCACCCCAGGCGCCCTCACAGGGGCCGTTCCCAAAACATGCCATCACAGTGAGGTGCCTTTTAAGGTGGGGAAGATCGGACAAAAAGGTTTCGATGTCAAAGCTCGGGGAACAGCAAATCCACCCCCTGGCTTGCAATGACCTCCGAAAGATTGAGCCCTCCGAGTTTAAGGGTGGGCGGGAAACAACAAAATGGAACCCACGAACCCGCATGCAAACACGTATTCGAAGACAAACAGCCAAGCAATTTTTGACACTCTTGTAGGAAACAGTTTTGTGGGACACTCTTGTAGGACACATTCTTTTCGGAAAGTTTTTTTGGGACACTCTTGTGCATCCTTGTGGGACCCCTTGTGTGACGTGGGACATTCTTGCAGAACACCCTTGTAAAACACTTTTGTGGGACATTTTTGTAGGACACTCTTGTGGGGCACTTTTGTAGGACACTCTCGTGGGACACTCTTGCGGAACTCTTTTGTAGGACACTCTTGTGGGACACTTTTGTAGGACACTCTTGTGGGACACTCTTGTAGGACACTCTTGTGGAACACTCTCATGGGACACAGTTCTAGGACACTCTTGTGGGACACTCTTTTACGACAGTCTTATGGGACATCCTTGCATGGCACTCTTGCGAACCATTTTTGTAAGACACTCTTCTGGGACACTCTTGTGTGTCGCTCTTGTGAAACACTCTCGTAGGACACGTTTGTCGGACACTCTTGTGGGACACTCTTGTGAGACACTCTTGTCGTACATTTTTGTGGGAACACTCTTGTGTGTGGGACACTCTGGTAGGACACTCTTGCGAAACAGTCTTGTAGGACACCCTTGTGGGACACTCTTGTACGTCAGTTTTGTGGGACACTCTTGCCGTTTACACTTGTAGGACACTCTTGTGGGACACCCTTGTGGGGGACTACTACAGTCTCCAAAAGTCAACTGTCACGTCCCCAGAAAAAGCGTTCCCCACGAGACTTCAACGAGACTTCCTCAACAAGACTTCCTCAAAAACTAACCAACACGTCGAGTCTGCAAAACGAGCGTTTGGTACGAGACTTCCTCCAAAATTCACGTGTCAATCCTCCAGAACGAGCGTTTCGTACGAGACTTCCTCAAAAACTAAGGCTTCCAGTCTGCAAAACGAGCGTTTCGCACGAGACTTCCTCCAAAAGTCACGCGCGAGTCTCCAAAACAAGCGGTTCGTACGAGACTTCCTCCAAAAGTCACATGTCAAAGTCTCCAAAACGAACATTTCGCACAAGACTTCCTCCAAAAGTCGAGCAGGAAGCCATCGCAGCACACACATCAAGCAGCCCTGCCAAGCAGTTTCGCGATTATTCCAGTAAACAACACCCGCTCACACGCCAATCCCAATGTCACAGCGACATTCACCTCCACCACAACTCACAACCTCACGGTTCCTTTGCGCCTGCCATGAAAATTTGCACGTCCACACGTCTAACACCCACCAAGTACTGCGCCTGCCACGAAATGTGACCTCCGCCACACCTGGTAACCTCACGATTCCCTGGCCTGCCACGAAAATCGTACTTCCACGCCCCAAAACCCGCACACTGCGCCTGCCGCGAAAAGTGACAATATCATATCATGTGAGCTTCAACAAAATTCACACCACACCACACCACACATTTGGAACCTTTCGACAAGTTCTGAGCGCACTCCCATCCACCAAAATCGCCACATGACAATTAATCACAAAAACGCAACTTCCACGCAACACCCTGAAACGCAAATCCCAATGTCGCAGCCACATCCAACGCCCCAAAAACACCATCCTCCAAACGCCGATACCAATATAACTGCGCACTGCGCAGAAAACTGCCGATCTCACAAAACGCTGCACCTGTGCAGTGAAATCATCCTTCACACTTCAACATCTTACGTTTCCACACGTTTCCTCAACATTTCACGAATCTGGCCTGTCACGCTTCCATCCAAAACCCTCACCAATGGCAGCGCCTTAGCGCTTCACTGCGGACGGTTGCAAACGGTTGCGAACGGTTGACAACGGTTGCGGTCGCTCAGGCAACGAGTCGCGAACAAGGCTCCACCCCAGACCTGCAGAGTTAAACGGGAACCCTTCGCTACGCATTCGGGAAATAACGCAAAAATCGCCACAGAAGTATGCAACATGCCAATGACCACCAACACTGCGACTGAAGGTGGTGACACGCGTTGAAGCAAACACAAGAAGAGCAAAGGTCTGCACATCAGAAATTCAAGGCCAAAACCCTCAACCGCAAACCATTCAACAAATTTAAGGGTATCTTCAAATTTCAACTCATGAATGCCTAACCCCAAAAGCCCGACAAAAAAGGGCACCACGAGCTCGAGGCCCCAAAACAATTGGGACACTAAAACGGTTTTTTGATTTGAAAAGTTTCTTTCTAGCTTCAAGAAGGTTTTTGATCCGAAAGGTCTTTTTTTTCGACCTATTTTTTTGAGCCCCAAGTCGTGGTAAGTCGTGGACGGTTGGTGTGTTGCGCTGGACTGATCACAGGGAAGAATGGTCACACGTCACTGTCTGAAACGGGCAGCGGGTGGTCACGCGTCACTGTCCGACGAAGTCGCTGCCAACCAACCAACCAACCAACCAAAAAAATTCACCAACCAACCCACACACCCATACAACCAACCACTCACACCTACCGCGAAGCCTTTGTGGTTCTTGACCCTATACTTGGTTTGCATGGCGGGGGGGGCGCTGCGCCCTCCCCCGCACCCCCTCCCGCTTTTTTAACAGCAACCAACCAACCAACCAACCCACCC